TAGTTAAAACAGATGATGCCGAAGTTTTCATTTGGGGACATAATTTGAAGTTGGAAAAAGGTAATAAATTGCAATATATCGCAGAATATCGCAATATATTTAAAATTGCAATAATATTGTATCGTGGCACAAGTATTGTGATAATATCGTATCGCGGGGCCTCTGTTGATTCCCACCCCTAATAATTTCCTCCCAAAAACATTTTCTTTTAGGGTTAGACATTCATAATTAGTTTTATATAAATCAATGAAATATAATAGAACAATGGAACGTTTTCATTGACATATCTAGGTAAATCTATTTGTGTGGAAAGGAAGAATAAACTTAAATTTGTAAAATGCTGGACCCTGTGCAGTTTGCACAAGAATATTAATTGAAAAGACACGGGGAGTGATTCTGGTCCTCTGCCGTTCACCCTGAATCTGAGCTTTAACTTTGCCTGAGTGTTTGAGTGACAAAAATAGCTCCCATCTGTTTTCAAAGGGCTCAGCAAATACCTACATAAAGGCTCCCTGCTGAACTAAGGTATTAAAAAACTACCACTAAACACATAAGCACAGCACAAACATGTAATGTACTAGCAAAACCTTTCTTTCTGGAAAGACCTAAAACTCTGGAGCCGTAGTTCAAAGTTAAACCCACGCCACAAAGACTGTGAGCGGGCTGTTTCCAAAGGGCAAATAATGCTCATTCTGAATCTGCACTCTGTGAATAAGGCTAGAAACAGGAAAGACCCATGTATCGAACTGCTTAAGCATGAAATTTGATTATGCTTGTAGTCAAAGTGCAACATGGCGAGGACACTGACGCAAATGTTGTAGAAGAGCGATTCGAAGATGAAGAGAGGCTAACTGATCCAGTTCTATCATCCCAGAGGCACAGAAACCTGAAACATGAGGCTCCAGATCCAAAAAAAAAAAAAAACACATGACAGGGAACCAGTTTGATGGACACAGAATCAATCACATGAGTTGGGATGCAGTCTCAAAATGTCTTGATCCGAAGTCCAGGCAGTTAAAAGAAATTATTCTTGGATCTAATAGATAATGCTGAAAAAACTCAAAGATGTTCAGGAACTGTTAGAAACAAGTAATGCATCTAAATACTCTACTACAATAGGTTTCATTTTTTTAAACGGAACTAAAAAAACTTAAAGGCCTGCACAAAGAAAATGGTTTTGTACAGTCCCAAACACCCTCTTCCCAGCATGCACTGAGGCATGAATAAGTAGGATTGCATTCGTTGACCATTTGCCATAAACTACTATTTAAATGTTATTGTTGATTTGTCTCACTTTTAGTAACATGTTGACTTGGTCCTCTACTCAAAATGAACAGTTTTAATAAGCATTTTGTTCTCCATGTACACCGCTGTTTGAACGTTTGGTGTCAGTATTATTATTTTCATTTGGCAAGGATGCATTAAATTGATCAAAAGTGATGGCAAAGACAATGTTACAAAAGACTATTAAAAACGCTTTTGAACTTTCTACTCATCAAAGAATCCTGAAAAAAAGTATCAAAGTTTCCACAAAATATTAAGCAGCACTTTTTTTTTTTTACATTGATAATAATAAGAAGCATATCTTGACCAACAAGTCAGCATATATGAATGATTTCTGAACGATCATGTGACACTGAAGACTGGAGATATGGCTGCTGAATATTCAGCTTTGCCATCAGAGTAAAACACATTTGAAAATATATTAAAATATAAAACAGTTATTTTAAATTGTAATAATATTTCGCAACAATGCTGTTTTTACAATATTTTTGATCAAATAAATGCAACCTTGACGAGCATAAAAGACTACTTTCAAAAACTTACCGACCCCAAATGTTTGAACGGTAGTGTAAATGCATAAAAATATTAAGCAGTTGAATTCAGTTCAAAATAAGCCATGCAAACTGTTTACTTTATTTTTTAAGTTCACAGCTAAAAAACTGTTTATTAACATAAAAGGCATGAAAGTTTAAATAAAAAGAGGATGACAGGTCCCAAACCATTACAGAAGAAAAGATGACAATTAATAACAACTAAATAATCGCAAAGTGTACAGATGTTTTTTTTTTTACATTGATAATAATAAGAAGCATATCTTGACCAACAAGTCAGCATATATGAATGATTTCTGAACGATCATGTGACACTGAAGACTGGAGATATGGCTGCTGAATATTCAGCTTTGCCATCAGAGTAAAACACATGAAAATATAATATTTAATATATTGAAAATATATTAAAATATAAAACAGTTATTTTAAATTGTAATAATATTTCGCAACAATGCTGTTTTTACAATATTTTTGATCAAATAAATGCAACCTTGACGAGCATAAAAGACTACTTTCAAAAACTTACCGACCCCAAATGTTTGAACGGTAGTGTAAATGCATAAAAATATTAAGCAGTTGAATTCAGTTCAAAATAAGCCATGCAAACTGTTTACTTTATTTTTTAAGTTCACAGCTAAAAAACTGTTTATTAACATAAAAGGCATGAAAGTTTAAATAAAAAGAGGATGACAGGTCCCAAACCATTACAGAAGAAAAGATGACAATTAATAACAACTAAATAATCGCAAAGTGTACAGATGCGCTACCTGCTTTGTGCTTCTCTCAAGAAGCTTTCAGGGGTGGAACGGGTGACATCAGACTCAGATCTGAGGACATTAATCATTTGCCTCACAGCACAACAAAAGCCACAAGACACTAAGAAGGGATGGGGGAGACTGTGGACGAGAGTGCAGTCAGCATCTGAAGCAGACAGGCTCTGGCATCAGGAGGTTAGGGTTCGGGCACAAAGATGCAGTCACACAGATCAGGAGGAAAAGGGGCTCAGAATGACAAGAAAGAAGGGAAGAGAAACCACAGTACAGAAAAAGAAATTACTAATGTGACATTTCTCAGTGAAACATGATATAATGCACCAGAATTTGTGATGTCAGCTAAAAAGGAAAGTCATTTTAGAAACAAAACAAGTTACTACATTTTGACAAAAGACTATATGAAGATGACTATTTTGTCAATTTAGAACAGCGTAAACCAACAAATCATTCCTAATAAGACCAGGAACATGCATTAAGTAAGTAAATAGACTGGATTTTGATTTCATGTGAACTTTAACTTGTTAGATCAGGTACAAGCTCACAACACAGATCAGACACAGGCCTAAGGACATCAGACTGTGATTTACATATTACCAAATTCGGTCTCTCTCAACCCCAAACAATCTCAAGCAAAGAGTGCAATCTGATTGCATGCATTTGACAGATGATTGCTTCTACGCCTTGAGCTGTTCTTGTGTCCAATCTGTCATAGAGAGGGATTTTATCAGTTTGAAGATGTTGTGAAACACTCTAAAACCCAACAACTGTAATGCCAGCAAATGAGGGCACAGGATGGAGAGCATGGTCTTTGAGCAACTCTCATACACTCGCAAGAGAGCGGACAGGTACAGCATCTGAAGCTAAGCTTCATTACATAATCTTATGGTGATTATACAGTAAAAAAGGCAAGGTTTCACTGCTCTTGCTTTTCTCTGCTCAACTAAAAATAACTCACAGGACACGGGTGGCACATCAGGTTTGATGACCACTTGTCTGGCACTAGCAGCCTTGCTGGTGTTATAAAACCACAAAACATTCTGTGAATTCATTTGTTAAGAGACTACACTTTAGGTTTATAGTTTAGAATTCAAATGAAAGATTTAAAGGGACAGCTCACAAATTCTGCCATCACTTTATTGCCCTCATGTCTTTTTAAACTTGTATGACTTTCTATCTTATGCAGTTCTTCAAAAAAAGATTTAGTTGGTAACTAAACAGTTTCGGTTACCTTTGACTTCCATCACATGGACATGGAGATATTTATCAAAATATCCCATTTATATGTTCCACAGCAGAAATAAAGTCATAATTTTTCAGTGAGTTTAACTTAAGAACCAGATCAGACAAATATGAAGCTTTACAATTAACATTACAAATAACTAAATAATTATTAAGGAAGAATTATAATTAAGTTATAAGCAAAATATAATGAAGTTATAAGTAAAATATTTGGGGTTTAAAACAACATACTGTAATGCAATCATGATTTCAAAGAGTAGAGTGAATTCAGGTTGATTGGGACACTTTTCCAAGCCATTGCAATGACAAAAAGTGTCCCAATCATTTGATTTTGTAAACTATTTGATACACATAATATATGTATAGTTATGTATAATAAATGTATAGTTAAATAGTTATTTTAGTTATATTAATATAATACCGCTCTTTTGTTAGTTTTGACTGCTTTTATTGTCCTCATTTGTAAGTCGCTTTGGATAAAAGCGTCTGTTAAATGACTAAATATATATATATATATATATATATATATTTACATAATTCATTCACTAATAGGATGTCACGGAACATGCCAAAAAGAAAGAGTTTTCACAAAGAAGCTAATTAAATTTCATATGTTCATCACACATTGTCTCCTTGAAATGCAGTAAACGAGTCATATGAACTAGGCTACTTTCATGCTACTTCTATGGGCATTTTGTGTTCTATTTTGAGGCTTGATATCTTCAGTCACCATTCAATGTCACTCTATAGTAAAGAAATTCTCCAAAATGTATTTTTTGTCCCATAATGAAAATACCTAACGACATGAATAATGATTACACTTTACAGATTTGTTACTTTTTTATTTATTTATGTTTTTTATGAACTATCCCTTTAACTTAACACGCCGCCGCGGAAACGCAACGCAACGGCCAAAGACGTCCGTCTGACGCATGTGTATCTACACAGACCAACAACTGTATCAAAAATAGCGCATACGGAACGCGAAACGCGTCCTGTGTAAACGCATCCTTAAACTTGTCTATCTTCCGCACTTGGGATACAAAAACTTAAAAGTGTTTTGCAATTATTGTCAACAAAAATTATTGATAGCAAGAAGTGCAACAACTGAGTAATCATAACAATAATAGCAAGTTTTGTGCTGTTTACTTACAGATGGGAGTCGGGAAACTGTATAGTGCTTCCACAGCTGAATAAAGACAGAAGTAGAAGAAGAGCAGCGGACAATCTGAGCGCATCCATTATTCTTCTGACTGACATCCAACAGACGAGTTTCTCCCACTAAAATCCACTGAAGTGACCCTCCTAAAGCAGCCGAGCTGCCGCCATGAGCGCCGCTACTTCCACAAACAAATCACAGATGCTTTTGGTCTCTCCAGCTACTTCTGCCTTTGCCCTGTTGAATTAGTTTAGATGTTTCTCCAGAGATGTGGAGACTGGCAGGGGGAGTCCGGTGTGGGGCGTTTCCGTGTCTCTCCGGTTTTCCAGTACGTTAAAGAGTCTGTTTTAGACTGTGCGCGCTGTGGCGGATCAGTTTCCACACGCCCCCCACCCCCCACCCATCTGCGCGCGATCATCACGCGTGTCGCTCCATAAAAGGAGCCCGAGCCGCACAGCTGAGGCGCTGCAAGGCATCAATGAGCTCATATCTTTGAATGACAAGAAAGTTAGAGAATTGCATCAGATAGATAGATAGATAGATAGATAGATGCAGTAATATTCTTTCAATGAGCAATTCAATTTCAGACGGAACCTTTTTGCATATGCAATTTTTGATTTATTGTAGGGAAGAGAATATTTCTCAAGGTAGATTTATTTTTTAAATCCCATTTCTATAGGAATACAACTTGCAAGTAAAGTTTTAGTTAAAAATAAAATAAAATAATAAAACAGCTATTATTGCCCCAAAAAATTAAGTTACTGTTGAAAATAAGTTGACATTTTGTGATAATGATAATCACACAATGTTTTCTCAATGGAACCTGCCATTAAGCAGCCTATTGTAGGTTTCAGTAAAATGAAAAAATTAAAACAAAAAAACATAAAATGTAAATTTTGCAACTGATTGTATAAATGTATAGCACCAGTCTCACTTAATGCTGACAGATTGACAGGAACAGACGGACATATAGCAAACGGGTTGCAACTGTCATGAAGCCATGACCTGTTAAGTTATCTCCATGTTTTCCATAAACAGCTACTAAAAATTGCAGTAGTAAATTTATCAAGCGTGACATGGTAGAAAAGACTTGGTATTAAATTAAATGTATTCAGTAGCTAGCTAATTTAGCTAACATGTGGAGGAGAAATTGCATTTCTTTAGTAACTAACTTGGGCTAGTGTTCAGCACATGCACACAAACAAATTTAAATATAAGCTTGTTTGTGTAAAATAAATTACTTGCAAAAGTAAAGTAAAAACTTTTGAAAGGTCCTTAAAAAGTTGTGCAGCATTTGTAACAGAGCCGGATCATTTAACTGTCAAAATAGATTAAAAGCGGTCACATCTGAGGCCATAGCATCGTGTCAGTACAAACACCAGGGGCACACACTATCCAAATAACCGCATTCCTAGTAAAGCAGTGGTTTAAGGAGAAAAAGGTGAATGTCCTTGCATGGTCTAGTCAGAGCCCAGACTTAAACCCCATTGAAAATCTGTGGAATGACTTGAAGACTGTCCACAAACGCTCACCATAAAATTTAACTGAACTTGAGCAGTTCTGCAAAGAAGAGTGGGAAAATATTGCAAAGTCTAGATGTGCAAAGTTAGTAGAGACA